CCTGATTTTTAGATCAATTTCTCATGAACCTTGTCCAAAAAAGCAATAACTGTACTACTCAGGATTTCTGTTTGTTTCACCTCAGTTCTCCAAAGGCCCATCTCACTCTAACTGGTTAAAGTCTGGTTCAGTTCTATCCCAATTTGGAGTATCTCCATGATGGTCTGTTTCTCACTATTGGGCATGCAAACAGGCAAGAACAGGAGAATTTGAGTGTGCAAGAGATTGTCAATTCCCTGATGATGTTAGCAGCAACACTCAGCAATGGAAAACCCTGAGGTTGAGGTTAGACTCAAATAAATCCAGATATTTTATTGTGTCTTAGAGAAATTCATTGCTGGCCCAAGCAGTTAGCTGATTAGTTGATCAGTTTGATATGTGAAAACCATCAATGTTGTGGGATTTTATTTTAATATTTTTTAAACATGTGCAATTGACATGTCTGAAGTTTACAAGGTTTGGCCTTTGCTCATACAGTGATGTAATTCAGTGGGCAAGTCAACAAATGCAGTCTGCTGTCAATCACATGGCTAGGTACAAGTCAAGGCGCAGCTTGCACTACCCCTGAAGTGAGTATATAAAACTGCTATTCACATTCAGGATCCATGGAGAAGGGATCCTTCTCCAGTGTTCAGTAAGAGAAATTGTGCCTATTTAAAACTTTTGAAAAAATTCACATATAGATCCACTCTCAGTGATAATTAATCTCTTGTGCTGTATTATCAACCTGACTACTATGCACTTGCTTAACTTCGTAACAAAAAACCTTTATTCACAGATGTAGGTAGATCCACCTGAATGTCTTCATGTGTGGAGAGATTTCCTGTTTGAGTGAGCAATACCGACTTCAAATGTTGTGCCAGAAGGTTATCAGACTGCAGATTAATGGTTCAAGCTGGACATCTATTTCCCTTTCACTTTTAAATCTTAATGTCTACTGAATTTATCCTAGACTTCTGTGAACTGCATGAATATGTTTAGATTAATTTCCACATAAGAAACTCTCACTGGAACGATGTAGCTAACCCTGAAAATACATTTTCTGTTCCTGTTTAATATAACAAATGAGGACTGCAATGAGGAGGGGCCAGTGCAACAATAGCAGGGGATGTGTGCCCAGAAACACACAAAGGTTCAGAGGAGCAGGAGACACTGACAGAAATGTGGTTTAGCTGCTCATCAACATTTTGCAGCCTTAAAACACCAGATCAATGATGCTAACTCATTAAGGGCAGAGAAATAATCCTCATCACAGCCAGAAGAGGGGAACAGGTATGTCATCTTTAAAATAGAAGATAAAAAGCTTTTATTTGCTGCAACATAATTAAACAAATTGCTACTGATATCTAAAAATGTTTTGCACCTAAGATATTTCCTTCCAACTTTTAAAGTGGCAGTATAATGTAAAATCAACTTTTTCGAGTTTAACTTCATTAACTTCATGTTATTCTCTCATCAACCTGAAGTGTGACTCTTCATGCACGCTTTAGGAATTCTCTACTCTCCCAAGTCAACCATCCGGATTTATGAAACACTTGGGGAACAGTTTCCAAACTGAGCTTCCACATTACAATGCAGCACCCCTACCCCGCACCTCCCCTGCTCAAGTCCTTCAAACTATCAGCAGGTTCAGTCCTGAAGTTGCAGCCTACAGTGGTTTTAGCCCTGCAGTGAAGCTGGTTGTTAGATGGATATTTTACAGACATGCGTTCTGGGATTCAGCTGAGACAGTGATGGCTTTCCATGCTGTCTGTCACAGAGATGGCAGATTCTGTGTGCTTGCTCCAGAATGTGTTTGGTCACTTAGGGACCATCAACAAACTCCAGTCGGTCAAAACAGAAAAAACATTCATTTATTTTTCAGAATTATGTACAGTGTTGGGATAAATACGGTGAACTGAAAGCAGTTTTTGAACCTTTACCCATACTCTAGTTATTCTATCCTTGAACCCTTTTGTTTCAGTCAGCCTTTCATTTACAAACTTAATGGATTTCACCTCACATTAGTTCACAGCATCAAATGTTCAAGCTTCGTTGGGGAGTTCATCACATCTTCCACAGGAACCAATATTTGTTTTGTCTCCCAGAGTTTAAAGAGAAAAATATATCATGTGTTTCTGCAGCCCTTGTTTGGGACTTCTTGCAGTTTGTTCTTGATGCATCTGTGGCATGTTGGTGCAGGTTCGCCTTTTAAGGTGAGTGGTGGGTGGCACCAGTGTATCTTTTAAAGCTAGGTGCACATCCTGCTTACTCATACCATTTCAGTTGAGCTTTGTGGCGATGGCATGTTGTGGAATATCTTATTCAGAGTCATGTCTTCTCCAAACACTGTGTCCATCATCCCATCCAGGATAGTTTTGTACTCTCCCTTTGTCTTGTCTCAGACTGTTTCTTGTAATCATGCCTGTCTTGGGTTCAGGACTGTGGTTGGGTCATGTCTCCCTCCTGCTCTCTGGTGTGTGCGGTCAGACTGGTGCCTTGGCCTTGGGGTTTTCATCAGGGTAGGTGATTTCATTGTCCAGCTTGTTTTGGGCTCTGTGCCATGGCTGGCACTAAATTTTGCCTTTAGCTCCTGGATTATTGTGGGACTTGGCTGTGAATCTTCCGTGGCTCTCCGCCTCCTCCTGTAGCCTCCAGGTGTGCAGACCTGACCTGTAGGTACGGTGTGCACGTCCTGAAGGAGCCATTGTTTTGTCCTAGTCCTGCTGCTTCAGGTCGTTTTCAGTTTGGTTGTCATCTACAGAACCTCCTAGGGCAGTGGTCCCCAACCTTTTTATCACCGCGGACCGGTCGAGACTTGGCAATTTTACTGCGGCCCGGACTCCTTAACTGCAGTTTTTACTATTTTTACAGGCTTCTGAGGCGTTTTACATGGTCATAGAGCTTCATTGTTAAACTGAAGTTAAGCGTTATTTGAACCTATTAACTGAGAGGTTATGGAATCTTGAGGTTAGCATTATGAGGCAGTAGCTTATCGCTTGTAGGGAAATATCACTATGTAAAAAAGGTTTTCTCAGAATGATAATTTACATCAGAACCATCTGGTTCCAATGAGCCAACCTTGACTGCTTTAAACTGTTCAGTTGTGTTTATGCAAGACAAATCATTGAAACGAGTCTTTCATGTTGGTATGAACTGAAACTTTGCGTTTGGGGGGTCTGTCTTGTGGTCTGGAGTCATAATTTTTCCAGAGGCTCCTATTTTTCCCTGCGGTTTTGTGGAACGTCAGAGTGACTTCACCACATTCTGCTTGTTTTGCTTGAGCTTCACCATGAAAATCGTTCATCTGGGAAACTCTATGAAACCAGTGAGAAACTCACAGCCTGTGGGGCCTGCTGTCAGAACCCAAGACAAACTGAAGAGAAAGTCATGGCAAAAACAGATTTCAAGGAAACATCTAATTGATTTATTACAAACTTTGAATGTACTCCTTCAGCCATCTTCTTTCCTAGCTTATGTACTGATCCAGATTCTTACTGTGATCCCTGAGAGCATTTCCTATTAAAATGATTAGATGACCTCAGCTTCATGCTAATTCTTACACTGAGAACCCTCAGCCCACAGGCGGTTTCTTCCTCCTTTGCTCTGGTAACTATGCTGGAAACGCTGGGAGATTTTCCATTTCATTCTTGGAGGAAACCTCTTTGGCTGTGTTTCTTAAGAGCTAAGTCACTATGTTTCTTCTCCAACTTTGGAAAGATGAAATGTGAATTACTTGCATATGGGGAGCACAGGAGAAATTAGATGAGGTTTGTGGCGGGGCTCCTTCATAAGACCAGAGCAAAGCAGGGATGACAGAAGATATGGAGTCAGAATTACAAACAGACTAAACCAATGCTTGTTAATAAATTGATTCCATTCATGGGAATATACAAAAAATATTTTGTAGCAGTTGTTATTCCATGCAAAAAAAAACAAATTATGCCTGACTGTGTACTAACAGCTTTAAAGATATTTTGAGTTAGATGGTTAAGTTTTAATATTCTCAATTTTCATCATTTTCAAATTTTCTTAGATACCTAAAGGGGTTTATCATCTGTAAACCATAATCACAGTTACTATGTGTGTAATGAATCAAAATAAGTTTCACTTTCTGAAATAAATGACAAGCAATATTAAGCTTTTCAATATTTTTAAAAGACATGCTGTCCTAATTAAAAATTAAAAAACACATATTGTAAAGGCTCTCTTTTCTATTTTACACATCAGATAAAGGTTTTATAAATCTAAAAATGCTTGTGTTGAATTATCCACTTTACGTGTGACCATCCATCTATAAAGAAATCCGTCAGTGGCTTGTATTAGTTATGATCCATATTACATGACGTGAGAGTTAGAACCAGTTTATCTCATACATGAGTTCCTCTGTCCAGCTCCTGCTCAATCCAAGCATCACTTGTGAACAAGAAACCAAGATACTTTTAACTGACTCAATAAACCCAGTGAATTATTACTAATGCCTTTTGGACTTGTGTGAAGATGAAGCTTAGTGAATGGCGAATTCTTCTGACATAAACATGAATGTATACTTTTTATAAGAATGTGCATGTTAACAACAAAACATTTGTAACATAGTAGTGTAGACATGACTTGGGGATAAGATCAGAAAGATTAAAAAAACCCTGGATTTGGTTAGCTGTGGTGTGACAATGTGTAGCGTAAACTGAACAGATATCCAAATATAGATTCTGCATAGGAAAGATGCTTTTCTGCTTAACAAATCAATCCTCCAACTGCAGCTGATCCAGAACGCTGCTGCTCGTGTTCTCACTAAAACCAGGAAGATAGAGCACATAACATGGGTTTTAAAGTCCCTACACTGGCTCCCTGTAGCTCAAAGAATAGACTTTAAAATACTGTTGTTAGTTTATAAATCACTGAACGGTTTAGCACCACAATACATTAAAGATCTGCTGTTGTTGTATCAATCTTCCAGACCTCTCAGGTTTTCTGGTTCTGGTCTGCTCTGCATCCCCAGAACCAGAACCAAACGAGGAGAAGCAGCATTCAGCTTCTATGCACCACGGATTTGGAACAAACTTCCAGAAAACTGTAAAACAGCTGAAACACTGAGCTCCTTTAAATCTCGACTACAAACCCATCTGTTTAGAGTTTTATTTGAGACATAGTCAATTACAAATTTAATGATGGCACTTGACTTAATGTAATGTTTTAATTGTTGATTCTATGTTGCATAACTTTGTGTTTTTTTGTTTTTATGATTTGAAGAGCCTTGTTGCTGAATGTGCTATACAAATAAAATTTGATTTGATTTTCATTTTCCCATGAATTTCAAATTTCTGTAAGAAGTCCATAGTAGACTTCATATTTCTTTTTTAATTAAGTTAAAATGAATCCATTTATTTTTTTGTCTTTTTAAAGATTTTTTTGGTTCTAGTGGCCTTTATTTGTTAGTTAATTGACAGGAGAGCAGGTAATGAGAGAGGGGGAAGACATGCAGCAAGGGTCACCAGGCTGGGAATCGAGCCTGCGACAGCTGCGTCGAGGACTAAGGCCTCCATATGTGGGTTGTGCTGAACCCCTGCACCACCACAGCACACCCCTTTTGTCTTGTTTAACAAATCTCTACTGAGAGTGTTCTTGATACAACAGTGAGAAGCTTGCCACTTTCTGACCTTTTGGATTTCCATCTATTTTATGACAGTTTGATTTCATTTAATGTGTCTTTGTGTTTTTATTGCTTTTACTAATTTTTTAAAACTATTTTTACTATGAAGCAATTTGTGACTGCTGTATAAGAAAGATGCTAGATAAATAAAATGGACTCTAATTTTTCCAAGCAGTCTTACTCTTTCTGAGAACAAAGTAGGTTTGTGCTTTGCTGTGGAATCTGGAGCTCTCACTTCAGTGGCCATTGCTCATGATGTTCAAAGGCCTGGCTGATTATCCTTGTTCATTGATGCTCAAATGATCTCTTTCTGAACATCTAATTTCTTTTTTTCTCCCCATCTCACTAATTGCTTCATAAAGAATCATTGGCCATGGTGCAAATAGGACTCCACCTCCTGCCACTGGTCCTTTGGCTTGGCACAGAGGAAAAGCTCCAAGTTCAAGGCCACAGAACAAAACCAGCTCAAGCACCTTTGATCCCTCATCTGCCTTTTGTTATAGTCTGGAACGCCCCTACCGAGTCATGTCGCCTTCGATTTAAGGTGGATCTAGACCTCAGCATTTTTGACATTGTAGCAAACCTTAATGAGACATTAAGTGGACCGAATGTCACAATATTCTACCATGGTCATCTGGGATACTACCCATACTACTCCAGCTCAGGTATTGCTATCAATGGTGGCCTGCCACAGAACCAGAGCATTTCCAAACATCTGAACAAGGCCCGAGTAGACATCGACAAGCTAATACCACACAAGGATTTTCGAGGCCTAGGTGTCATTGACTGGGAGAACTGGAGGCCTCAGTGGGTACGAAATTGGGGTTCCAAAGACATCTACCGTAAAAAGTCCAAGGAACAGATCCACAAGCTCCACCCACACTGGCCAGAAAGCAAAGTCGAAAAAGAAGCAAAGGATCGTTTTGAAAAGTCAGGGCAAGCTTTCATGAATCTCACTTTGGCACTGGCTGAAGCGCGGAGACCAGACGGTCTGTGGGGGTTCTATCTTTTCCCTGACTGTTACAACTATGGCTACAAACAACACCCACAATGCTATACTGGTGAATGTCCCAATGTTGAACATGTACGCAATGACCATTTAATGTGGCTCTGGAAAAAAAGCACAGCCCTCTACCCATCCATCTACCTGGACTTTGAGCTGAAATCTTCCTCAAACACCATCAAGTTTGTTCACTATCGAGTGAAAGAAGCCATGAGGATAGCAACCATTGCACGTACAGACTACACATTGCCTGTCTTTGTCTACTCCAGACCTTTTTATGCCTACACCTTTGTTGTGCTTTCAGAGGTATGTTTTCAGTATTTCAATATAAAATTTAAATATACTGCATCACAATTTTAAAGTTTCTTTGTGCAATTTCAACAGATAAACTCAAACTACAAGCTGTTATAATAGGGATTCAAGCCCACTTTAGCAAATTTGGACTTGCATTCATCTCCTGTGCCCTGCTGATTTGCCAAATATTATCTGAATCAACAGTTGAAGGAAATGGTGTTTCTAGGCTTTTAAAATTTTGTGAAAGCACATTTTGAGTAATTTATTTAAGTTTTATGTACAATTACTTTCTACTGTTATGTAGAGTGACAAAATGTCCTCTTTTCCAGTGGTGGAGAAAGTACTCAAAAATTGTACTTAAAAAAAATTGTACAAAGTACTTGTACTTCGTTACTTCCCTCCACTGCTCTTTTCCCCTGACATGTCCACTTATGAAGTTCTGTCGGGAGGTTTCTTTGATGATTTTCAGGTATTCATTATTTTCCAATGAATACTTATATTGACTGGTGAGATTCATGGAGTATAAGAGCCCCTCTTTTATTTGATGTCCTCCCGGAGCTACCCAGCAAATCCTGCTGAAGTACAATGACAGGGTGGGAGGTGTGCCGAGCAGAGATGCATGCATACAGAACAAAGTGGGCAGTGCTCCGGTGTAGCTTTATGAATGAACAATAGTTTATCTATTAAATTGACTGAGGAGAACAAAGACATGAACTAAACCCTGTAGACAGCGATAAATAATATATAAATGTTCTTAAAGTGTCTTTGTGAGACTGCTGGTATTGATTTTTACTATTACATTGAATACAATTTCAGAAGTTTAGGTAAGTTTTTGTCTAGTTTGCCTAAAAAGTGAACTATTATTTTTACAGGTTAATTTTCTAAGCTATAGAAGAATATTAGGGATGCACTGATGTGGAAAATTTAGGTCAATATTAATAGCTGATATTAATCCTGATGTTTGGCAGTATTAACTGATATCATGTATATTATACATATTTTTCTACACTTTTGTCATTTCAAAGTAACCACACTACCTACATTGCTTCTCTGCTTCAGTTAACCCATAAACTACTGCATCAATAAAATTGTCACAAGACTGAACAAATACTACATGACCAACTCCTTCCTGTGTCCCTCCAAAAACACAAAAGACAACAAGATGAAAATAAACAAAAGTTTTTCAAATCAACCAAGTTTTACTTCTTGGACCAATACCAGCATTGACGTAGCAGTTCATAGCTGGTGAGGCACTGACTTAATCATAATTAGATTGACAGATATAGAACCCCTGCTTGTTATTGTTTACATATGGAGATTTTACAAAATTTTTGCTCTCCAGCACAATGCTGGAGGGCAAAAAGATAATTCTTTAATATGCCATCCACAGCTGTGCTGCCGCCATAGAATAATTCCATTAACTCAATGAAACTTGGAAATGAACAGTGATGGTATAGTTACTTTGAAAAAGTAACTTTAATTGGATTACTGATTACTCCTTGAAAATGTAACTTAGATTACTTGATTGGTAAAGTAACTAAGTTACATTAAAAGTAACTTTTGTAGTTACTTTCAGCAGCTGCTAACAACAACGCTCCACCACCTGTGACAATGACATTGATCTTTGCCAAAACTTAATTGCGAGTTATTTTATAATGGTAACATCAACAATGTTTCTCCACTTATATGGTTGAACTGAAGGGGAGATTGTTTAATGGTTACAACAGTACAAAAAAACTTTAGTAATTTGTGTGTGTTTTTGTGTGTTCCAGTATTGTCTGTAGGATTTTAGGCCCCTCTCTTCCCCCCGCCCCAGCCTCCAGGTTCTGTCTTACGGCTCTGCGTTTGGTGTCACAGCGCACAGAGCTCCTCCTGCCGCTCCACAACTCTGATGTCCTTCTGCACAGATTTGTGACACTTATCTTAATATTAATAATTATAATGGCGTTTAGTTGCGCAACTCTACGGACTCATTCATTCATGGCTGTTTAAACGTTTATTGAACTTTTCATATTAGTCTCGATGTTTGCAGTTTTCTGGAGCGCAACGTGAAGCTCGACGTCATTCAGAGGTTATATATTAACTTGACATTAACAAAGACACAGTGGGACGGATCATCTGGGAAATGATGGACAATTAGAGTCTGACTAAACCTAACTGGATGTCAGACAAATTCTGGGGTTTATGCCTCCTTATTTCCAAGCCCAAAAACCGCAACCCGCGACTCATTACATCTGCAAGCGACTTTAGAAAAAAAAACAAAACAAAAAAACAACAAGCTCAAAGCTGCTTATAATAATCGGACTTGGCGACAGAAACTCTAAATAGTTCCTGTTTTTCCAGCAACAAAATGCGCATCTTCCTCTTCCCTCTATCGTTTCTGTTTCTGTCGCTGCTGATTAGTGTCGCAGAAACAGTGGTCACTCCCCAAGACGTGTAGAGGAAATTAAATTAAATTACAAAACAAAATAGTAACGCAAAGTGATTTCGATAAGTAACTGTAGCCTGACTACTGGATTTGAAATAGAAACGCGTTATTGACATCACTGGAAATGAATATATTATTAGTTTGGTGCTGTGGTCCACAGCAAACAGAAAAACCAAAGTACAACTCAAAACCACTTCTTACTCGCTCTCTGTATCGCAACACACATACTTGTTGCCATAACAACTTTATATTTCAGGATTCGACACTCAAATATTTCCCACATAACGAACAGGACATTCCGTCTGTTGCAGTAGTATGTTAATGGTTTTGCGATTATTATTAAGTGATTGCTGTGGTAAATTATAGCTACCGCTGCTACTAGCTAACAGTTGCTTGCAGGTTATGTTTCTTTTCTGCATTCCTTACACATGCAAACTGTAGCCCACAAAACGCACATTTCATCAAAAAACTAAACAAAAAATGTTATTGCTGTCTTACCGGTAGGCTACTCTTTAATAAAGCTAATTTACCTTTAGACTTGCTTTAGCTAGCTCTTATGCTGTAAGAGGACATAGTGACCACTTCTAACTGACACTTCATCGTATTACCTCCATTGATGCATATCTGTTGTTTTTCTGCCATTCATTTTTTGTCATCTGCTTTTTCTCTTTATCCTACTTAGTTGTGGCAAATGGCTTCTCACATTAAGCCTGATTCTGCTGCAGGTTTCCTCCTGTTAAAGATACAACTAACTCATAACTCATCTGTTTAGCTATGTTTCTATCCTAGACGAAGCCACTATTGCTGCCATAAACTATTTTTTTCTCTTATTTTTTCCAACATAGAAAGTACTCCTGGACCAGTGAATCTGTGTTTTTGTGTCTGTTCTAACTTCTCAAGTCCCCAGTAAATGTTGGCAGGTGGTTTCTCACATTGAGCCTGATTCTGCTGCAGGTTTTTTCCTGCTAAAGATGCAGTGTGTAACTTTTATGAAAAATGTTTCAGAATGCAATATGTAAACAAAACATTTTTGACAGAAGTCACATACTGCCAACTTAAAGGCAAATTTTCCTTTCTACTGTTACAGGTTGCATGCTCAGTATGACAAGTTGCTGCAAAGTTCATCTTTTCATTTGCAAAAAACTCAACTTTACACTGTCCTTCCATGATCATTCAGGAGTAATTGCAGTAGAACCAGATATTAATGCAATTTGATGGAGTTTCTTAGATAAAGAATCTTTTTGTCCATGTAAATATTAACTAAACTCGACTGAAAGTTTTCATTTTGTTAAAGAGTGACTTAGTTCATACTATCGGGGAGAGTGCTGCTTTGGGAGCATCAGGTGTTGTCCTTTGGGGATCATCAGAATATGCTCGGTCAAAGGTAAATGATAAAAGCAAAGCAAAGAAAACTGTAAGCAATTTAAAATAGTCTTCTATAATACTAAAATTGTTTGAAGTTATCACTATCCTTTAATTCTTTATCTTTTGCTGATTTTGCATGGAAGGAGATAAGTTCTTATTTTAGACCATTGACAATGTCTTGTTCTATTCTTCTTCTAGAGAAACTGCCTTACTGTAAAGAAGTACATTGACGGACCGTTAGGACATTATGTCATAAATGTCACCGCAGCAGCTAAATTATGCAGCAAAGCACTTTGCAAGAAGAATGGAAGATGTGTCCGCAAGAGCCTGGACTCACGTTACTATCTCCACCTCAACCCACGCTACTTTCACATCCACCATAACCCAGCGCCTGGTCGCCCTCGCTTTGAGGTCAGGGGTCACCTCAACAGCCATGACATCCTGGACATGAGGCACAAGTTCACCTGCCAGTGCTACCAGGGCTGGACTGGTGTTTACTGTGAGATCCCACAGACACAGACACCACCTCTATCCCCTCCTGTCCTTTGGGGCAAAAGCCTGGTGGCATATATTATGCTCCTCCTTTCTGTCCACTTCCCTTGTCTGTGCATTATCATGCTCTTGGGACTCTGTCTGGTCATAAAAGGTCTTATTCTGTAGACATAAAAAATATCATAACTTCATGGTATTTTCAGTGTTCAGTTTAAACTAGTTAAGCTTGAGAGCAGCCCTCGGCAACCCTGGATACATTAACAGTCCAATGACAATAATTCCAGATTTGATTTTTGAATTATATGTCTGTTCCTATCATTGTACTGCTGCTGATTACAAGGTTTCAATGCGTTGATTGGTTTTTGGATATGGACAATTCCAAGTTAGGACAATTTCAAGGGCCCTGGACAGACAGGGGCCCCCCACAAAATAGTTGTTTTTTTTTGTTCACAGAAATAGAAAAAATTTGGGGCCCTGTCGATTATAAAATTCATCATGTTCCCTTATAAAAAACTGTTTTTAGCAGTAAAAATTACATGTTACCCCTCCTAGACTAAAAAACATAAATCTATATTTGCACTGAATTCTTCCCTGGATTTGCATGAAATAGTTTGTTCCTGCTTGACACGCTTGAAGGTGGCGGTGGTTACCAGCTTTAACCTCTATACCAGCATAACCTTTAACCCCTGTCCTAGTAAAAAAGGTGAGCAACATTGTTCAATGACAAGCTAGTTAGCATCATTCCAGTGAGTCTATAGGGATTTCTCTGTGTCTTTGCTCTTTTTGCATTCACATAACAAAACAATATATTTATTACTGACAGAAATTCAAACAATCTTTATATAATGACAATGAAAAACAGCCTCCTGTCTGGACTGGAAGCAATCCAAACAGTTTTACCTTAACTTGCATTGAAATTACAGTTATATGTTGCCATGTCCCTATTGACTCTTAGCCAATAGAATGGGACTCTCCTATGTGACACTGTGTGGAATCTTAATGAGAGTGACCTCAGTAGATTGTAAACCAGTCCCTCATTTGAGAAAGGGAGTAACTTTGTGCCACTTTTTTATATGTTGTGAAACCCTGTAAATAAATGAGAAATTGTGCCTTTAGGCACAATTGTGTGATTTCATCTTTCATGAAACAGTCATTGACTGTGAGGCAGCTAATTTGAGATTAGCTCTGGATTTGGGACCAAAGTTTGAAAACAGTGAATCAGCTTCAGGCTGAGATTGGGACTAGACTGAATTTCAATATTGCATTATGAAATATTTACTGCAAACTGCAACCCTGTTACTCAACATGATAATTTTCAAAATTTGGAAAAAAAACTTCACAGAATCTGTTTTCTCTTTTACTGAGCAAATCAGTAAGTAGTGTATGTCTTATTTTGTTATTGTAACGTGTAAGTTAAGCAACATGTATAAAATAATAATGCTGTAGAAAGAAGTCAAACTGTTTATCTTCATACCATGTGATCTAATTTGGACAGCAGGATGCTTTCTAAACAAACAGGAGAAACTCAGACTCTGTGCATTTTTCAAATAAATTGATTAATTAGTTAACTTTTTGTTTTGGTACTAATGTGAAATATAAAACACAGCCACTTAGTTGAGGCCTAGTCTCTGGACCAGGATTTGTGGTTTATGAAGCTAACTTCAGGTTCAGTTTAGAAATTTTAGTATTACAGCTCTGCCTCATGTCATACTTGGATCTGTCACTAATGTAACATATAGTATGATGCTGTGATAGTGTCGCTTCTATACCAGTCAGAGCAAATGAAATAATGAAAAGAATGGCAGTGCATGAACACACTTCTTGGTTCTTTTTTTCCTCCTCAGACTCGCATGTTGAGGTCAGTTTACTCGAAGGCCTTTCTGATCTCAGCAGAACTGATTCTTGGGTTCCTAAAACTAAGGCTAATGAGTAAAAATTGTTCTAAAAGTTGAAGATTAGAATCTAACATTTTTATAGTACTATCTAGTCTAGAGGACACCAAAGCAATTTACACTACAGTCAGATATTGACTTGCGTATTAGAAAATGTAGTTTTCTGGTATTCACACAGGTCATCCTACTTTCACAACTCACTTCACGACCAAATGGTCAAGCTTGATAACAAATGGTCTAAGGCAGTGTTTCTCCACCGTGGTCCTCACCGCCCCCCTGTTCTGTATGTTTTAGATGTGCCTCTATTCCAGAACAGCTGATTCAAATGATTGCATGACTATCAAGTGCTGCAGAATCACCCAGAGATACAATGCAGGTGTGTAGCAGAAGGGAAATACGTAAAACATGCAGGACAGGGGGGTGGTGAGGACCAGGGTTGAGAAACACTAGTCTAATGACAAAAATGTACTCACTAGCATGCAGTCAGCTCTGCAGAGCTCTACTAATGAGCTGATATTGGAGCTAGGTGTGCTGAAGCAGAGACATCTAAAGGTTACAAGATTCTGTTCCTCAAGGAATGCAGTTTGAGAACACTGAAGACAAAAAAAACCAAGACAAATGAAAAATCCTACCACCACTAAATTCGGATGCTACTCCAATTTTCTTTACATTTTTTGATTAAGGAAGTTATGCTGAGTTTCTTCTTCAGAGGTTTACATGTCTTTTCCTTCAATAGTTCTTGATACAGCACCCCCACAGGTGAAGATCAGAACAGGTTGCTCAAAGGGTTTGCTTTGTTTGACTCAGTGCAGTGAGAAGGTATGGAGCCCCTTAGGTGACATAAGGAAAAAAAATTATTTTGCGTTACCTCACAATATGCTGCTTACTGAATATTTGCTGGTTTATTATGTATGCAGTCACAAATGTCCATTTCAAATTTCAAATACATACACATTTAAAGAGCCTTGGTGAAAACATGTTTATTATTCACTCTATGGTGCAAAAAACTGATCAAAAATCGATTTATTCACTGCATCTTTATGTCTGTTTGTGTAAAGTTGAGTTGGAACTGCACATGAAAATGTCCCTTTAAGCCAGGGCCACCAACCTTTTTGAGACTGGGAGCTACTTCACAGGTACAGAGTAACACGAAGGGCTACTTGTTTGATACAGACCTAAATTTTCTTGGCTCAGCCTTTACAACAATAGTATATATGTATATATGATTACATGCGGTCTAATCATATTAATGTTGGGGACTACTGACAGTAGTTATCAGTAATGATTTACCATGGCAGATATGGTTAATTGCTATTATGTGATCAGAAGTTCTTAGTTCAGAATTTTAAGTTTGATTCCCTTTTGGAGCTTTTCTGTGTGATTCTAAATTGCCCACAAGTGACTGATAGTATGGATTGTTGCAGCAGCAGCTGTACAGCTATGCACTGTGAGATTTTCCTTTAAATAAAAAATAAAAGTTATTGTATTTTTTATTATCCAATTATTTATTATCCTATTTCAGTTGAATGTCCGCCAAAAGTCCGCTGACAACGTTCAGCGAACATTCACATTTTATTCAAAAATAAAAAGCTATATATGGTTCTGCTATGTCTGGGGAAATGCTAATACAGCAGCAATTTCATTGGAATGTAAGGCTTTCATTTGGAACAGTTATCTTCCATTTCCCAGGGATATTAATCCAATGTTGTAACAAATTGTAGAAGAAGAAAAGCCAAGCTGGGCCCACACTTACTGATTTCACAGTAAATTGTTTCTAGAGAGAAATTAGATTGGTCATCGTGCAGAGAGAAAGCGTACAGGTCGGAGTGAAAAGGAGATAATTAAGGAGTAGTTCAAATTAAGGTGTAAACAATCAGTTAGTTGAGTGTTTTGATGTATAAATATATGTTTAGTTTTCCTGCGGAACGTGTAGTTCGCTATTGGGTGTGACGGTTGTGTTTTGCCACTAGTTGGTGCTAACATTCTTTAGTTAACTGTCAACAGTTGAAATACGTTGTATTTTATTTTATTTCATGATACAGAAATGTTAGAGTTTAATAAATACATGTATTGTGAAACATAATTATAGCACGTAATGCAAAGGAGTCATATGTTAATAAGGAAAAGGTTAGAACAACACTGTTTGAGTTACTAATGGTATTTTATTTGTATGTTTGTATATTTTGTAGCTTTTACAATGTGTTCACATAATAAATAATAAAGGATTGTGAACCATCAGTTTGAGAGGCCATCCTTTCCACCTGGACGCTACATTGTGTATTTTGCTTTTATTAATAAATAATCACTGTGGAAGATTAGCCAAACTAACACAAGGTGGCTGATTAGCTCATTTAAACACCGGCTTTACTGATGATCTGTCAGTTTGTGTGTAGGTCGCCTTTTTTATTTTTAAGCTGAACCAAAACACACCTTATTCCACAACACATCTATTTAAATTTGTCAAAGTCAAGCATAACTGACCTACTTCCCTCTCCCTCCCTATTTTGTTTCTTAGTTAAAACTTATTTCTCACCATGTTAACTAGTCATAGTGTAGACAGTTCATAGCAAAACACTGCATCACTTTTTATATGAGCTTACATTTAAATCAAGCAGAGAAATGGGGGCAGGAACTTGCGTGGGTGACATCAAGCTGCAAGGAGTCTAGTTTAAAATAACATTGGAGCTCATTTAAGAATATCGTGATATATATCATGTATCGTGGTATAGCAAAAATATATGAGGATAATAGATTTTCCTCATATCCCCCAGCCCTAGCCTGTACTTGTATAGTTCTTTATCAAGTCCAAATGACCTGAAAGTGCTTTTCAACACATTTAGTCATTCACCCATTCACACACACATTTACACACTGATGGCAGTACGCTACTATATTGTAGTCACAGCTTCCCTGGCACAGTTTGATAGAAACAAGGCAGTCATACACTGGCACCACCGGGTCCTCTGACTATATCATTGCTGATATAAATTTGTTATAAAGGTATTACTGATTGCACTTTAAAAATTAGGTAACTTTATGTTATTAAAGGTAAAGTTTAAACAGTAATGATATATTGGTTAATGTCAAGTTGTCATAACAAAGACATTTTGAATAATGTCAACTTTGTATTAAAAGTGTCATAATTTACCAAATGACGCTTTATGACGACAGTCATAAATATTTATGAAGACTTACTGATGTTCATGACAGGTGTTATGTCAGTCTTATTCACACCCCTTCAAATAAAGTGTTACCCAAAATTTTGTCATTTTGCAATCAAAGCTAATAAAAATCTCTATATAGAGCATACAACTATGCATATGCAAGATATTTTATTAGTAATTTCTTTCTGCAGGTCTATTTTGTTATAGGAAAGTATTGCAATATTCAAACCCGCAATTTAGCAAGATATGTAAATCAGAGCTAGACCACCAGACATATTTTGTCTTTACAGAATTACACTATTAAAAATATAAACAAGGGCACAATGCGACCTTTTAGTGAACTGTAATCTATATAAAAAAGAGCTGCCTGTTTGCTGCAGTGGAGATGAAGATGGTCCATTCAGGAAAGCAGAGCTGCATCAAACTTTAACGTGGAACTGCAGAAAAAAACAAAAGCAAAAATTGAATTGTTAATGCATGTCACCATGAGAAAAGCCTACTGAGTTTTGCTTAAAAAAACTTTTTTTAAAATTAAAATCACACATTTTTTGTTTCATGAAGTGAAAAAATTATTTGCAAAACAAACTTATTTGTGCATGTCAAAAATCTTTTCTTGCTATTCTAAATTTTTGTTTGTGACTCAAAGTTTTGCTTGTGATTTTTACATGATATCGTGGGGAGGGCCTAAAATCGCAACAAAAGATTTCTGATGTGTGCAAATAAAAGTTTATGTTTGACAAATAACTTTTTAAGTTCACAAGACAAAAATTAGTTATTTAAATAAAAAAACGTCTTTTAAACAAAAATTTGTTTTTTTTTTTAAAGAAATCATTACAATTCCAAAAGTTTTGATTACAATTTTATTTTACTTAACTGAGGTTAGTTTATTTTTCCCATTGAATAATTAGGGGGAAAAAATGAACTACAAACTCTGCGAACCAGACCCTAAACTNAACACCTTTTATTTACTTTCACTGAACACATCACAATAAAGATCAGACTGCAGTTTGTTATTTTCTTACTTTGACTGAATCGTGATAAGCTGCCTCGTTAGCAAAACTGCTACACTGCTTTCATAGACTTAAGCTTTCTTGTCAAAGGTAGCAAACATCTCATTCATATTTAACTCTTTAACTTTTAGTTAATTAGAAGAGTTTGAAACAGGAGGAGGGGCTGAGCAAGTGGACCAGCTCAGAGTGTGGGAGCCGAGAACAGATAGAAAAAAAACTAAAATGTTATGCCTTTATTTCTCACTGCCTTCAATGTAAAGCCTTTAAAACCACAAAATAAAATCTGAATGTTTTTCTATGTAAACCCTTGTGCTTAAAATGTTACACTTAAGTTATAATACCCCCCAGATATTCATTTCTATCTACCTGTTGGTTCTCCGTCACCCAGGACATGACAAAACTAAAAATAGGCTTGAAAATAAAGCAACTTAACAAGTTATAATTTAAATAGGCCATAACTTGTATTGGGAGCCATTTCAATAAATCAATGTTTATAAGGAATTTTATTAAGAGCAGTTACTCATTAAAGCTTTTTTATTTAGAACCTTAACATTTTGTAAAGGTGTAGCAGATCAGTGAGACTGAAGAAAACTTGTATAGAAGCAACATTTGAGTTTTAATTTTATTTCTCAATAAGTTGCTTACTAAGAAAAACACATTTGATGTGGATTACTAGTCATTTTTGGTCCTGCAGCCTGAATGTGGTTTAAAAACTCTTTAAACCACATTTTACGTTACATTTCAATGTAACTTTGCCGACCCCCCCAAAATTGGTCTTAAGAAATTTTCCTGTTTGTGGTCCCCCACAATGATGAGATGGGATCTACACCCTTGTATTAGTCTCAATGTTTGCAGTTTTCTGGAGCGCAACGTGAAGCTCGACGTCATTCAGAGGTTATATATTAACTTGACATTAACAAAGACACAGTGGGACGGATCATCTGGGAAATGATGGACAATTAGAGTCTGACTAAACCTAACTGGATGTCAGACAAATTCTGGGGTTTATGCCTCCTTATTTCCAAGCCCAAAAACCGCAACCCGCGACTCATTACATCTGCAAGCGACTTTAGAAAAAAAAACAAAACAAAAAAACAACAAGCTCAAAGCTGCTTATAATAATCGGACTTGGCGACAGAAACTCTAAATAGTTCCTGTTTTTCCAGCAACAAAATGCGCATCTTCCTCTTCCCTCTATCGTTTCTGTTTCTGTCGCTGCTGATTAGTGTCGCAGAAACAGTGGTCACTCCCCAAGACGTGTAGAGGAAATTAAATTAAATTACAAAACAAAATAGTAACGCAAAGTGATTTCGATAAGTAACTGTAGCCTGACTACTGGATTTGAAATAGAAACGCGTTAGATTACTCGTTACTGAAAAAAGTGGTCTAACGTCAGTAACGTGTTACCAAGTAAGGATGTTGTTTTAGTTTTTGGCTAAAACCAACCTACAAAACATTTCCCACCTTTTCCTCTCCAGAATCAAACTTCATAGCTATTTTATGACCATCAAAGAACTTTAAGGTGACTCATTAACTGAATGTCCACAACATCTTTTAGATTTTCTTAATGCTAATTATTTTATTAGTAAGGCAGTTTTGCAAGGGTCAGTACAGCTTAAATCAGTAGCAGAAATAATCAAATAAGTAAAATCAATAATCTAGCCTATCTTTCCCTAATGCTGACACTGTGAACTAAAAAAGGGAAACTTTGAGAGAGACGGACGGAGTTTGGCATTTTGAACCCCAGAACTGGCCTGATGATGAAAAAGGTGTTGCAGCAGCAGGAGGCTCACAGTGCTGGTCGATGAGGACAGACGTCTCTGCAGGTCTGATGAGCTTTCGCTTCGATGGTGAGGTCACACAGGACTTGGGTGCTGGCAGGAAGAGTACTGACTTAGAGCGGCAGGTATTGAGTCTTAGGGTGACTTCCTCATGCGCGTAGCGGTCCTCAGCTTCTTGTCTTGCAGCTCTGTAGTTCCCTTCTCCTCGTCTCACGATCTTTCTGGTCCGTTAAGATGTAGACGAGCTGGTCTCAGGGAAGGAAGGCACCAGTTCTTCCTCTTTGCCTTTGTTCTTTATCTTTATCTTCATCTTTGCCTTGGTCTTTGTCTTTGGGGTCCGAACCCAGCTGGTAAGAGAAATACAATTTGAAGCCACATGTTGCGGGGCTAACGGGTTGGTCCCCATGTGCAGAACAGTCTTCGGCTCCGTGGCCCCGGCTCTTCTTCAGCTGCAGAGTTCTTTGTCCATCTCGATCTTGGCTCGAAGCTGCCTGAAGGATCCAACCAACGATTCCTCTTTTCCACCCATCTTATAAAGGGTTTATCCACCTTTTGGTGCATTTGCATTGGCTAGCTTTGTTGCTGTGCCTGTCTCATTGGCTGACTGCTTGGACCGATGATCTCATATCCATCACTGTTTTGGAGACATTTTGACCTGATGTCTGTTCTAATGACCCCGAGTTGCTCAACAGTTGTCGGCACAACCTTTTCTTTGGAAAGTTTAAGTTCAACAATAAGCCATTGGTCCTCTCTGCTCTCCCATCAGTTTCTTTTTTCCCCTGTCCCATCTCCTACCATCTACCTCCAACACAACATCAGTGATCTTTAATTAGAGTTACACATTCTATACCATCTCAAGTTCAATGTCACAATCACATTTATAACCTTTTTAGCTTCTCTTTGATTCAGCATTCATTTATAATATGATAACCATAACTTATTAGTTTCTCTTATTATAATCATAATGTGAGTTATTACAGACGGTGTTCTGAAAAGAAACCAAGAATAATCCATTATTCTAATAATTTGATACCAAAGTTACAGTTACTTGTTTTACTTGTAAGTATTTCCACAAGTGGAAGTATAAGTATTCCTATAAGTAAGCCAATATTAATTTAAGTGTTCTACTTTAGGTCTTATTCAATTACTCAAAATGTTTAGACTTCATTCTTTAAAACTTTTATGCTTTGGAATAAGGACTATTTCATGAATCTGCAAGCTGGAAACTTACTTCCTCTTCTCTCAGGAAGCCTGCTGTTCCTGGTCCATGACACTCTTTACTCTTTCTGCCTGACTTTAATTTCTTATGATTATACAGAAAAAAGAAGTAGAATTAAAGCAAAGTTTGCAGGAGACAAAAACAACACACACAACCAGATTGACTTTATTAAAGTCTGAGTCTACTGTTGGGTCTAGATGTTACTTGTGTGATTAACTTTAAAGGTAACTTTAAATGCTGGAGATTTTACTTTTAACCTAAAATCTCCAGCATGGGGAAGTGGGATGATCTCAGGTTTTCTCGACACCGCGCACAATCAGGACTGTGCAGAGGGAGAATTCCCTTTAAGGATGAGAGTTCACCCCACTGCCCAGTGGTAACAGGATCAGAAACTGTTTGGAGCCCTTGCAGTCCAGGTAAAAGCCGTTGCCACCAGAGGAAGAACAAGTGAGAGTTGGACCTTTCCTATTTGACCTGCTTTTTGTGGTCTTATCTTTTAGGAAGGATTTTGCCGTTTTAGATTTTGACCCAAATCAAAATCCAAAAAATATCGGGAAATATTTTCAGAAGGGGTTTTTTTTGTTTGTTTGTTTGTTTGTTGTTTTGAGAGTATGGGACTCCATTATGGACTAAATTCTGCTTAAATTAAATGATTTTGCTATATTTTTGGTGATAAGCTGAGTTCCCTTTAAGGATGAGAGTTTGCCCCACTGAGTTTTTTTAAGTCTAAACTGATATTATTTTGAGAGGTTACTGCCAGCGCTCAGCTGTTTATTTCTCATTATAATGACTCATTGTTGCTATTAGATCTTTTAATCAACAATTATCCATATAAAGTATTTTAATATTTATTTAGTGATTTTAAAAGTTGTTTTCAAATATTTCCTTGATACCTGGGACAGATGCCCCTTGTAATATTAGTTATGCTTGAAGTCAAGTTGAATGTTACATGGGTTTCATCTTGCCGTGCTCAGGTCCTGCATCAGATTTATCCCTTTAACAGGTTTCTAAGGTTTTTGTGCGTTTTCACAAAATCTGATGTGTGAACAGTCAATTTCCTGCTTGAACATGAGAAACCAATGAAAGGCAATGAAAGGAACTCACCCACTATGCTTCATGTTGGGAGGCTTGTCCATCCGGACGGCCAGTTTGATCTGCAGATCTGTGTCCTGGCTGTTCTTAGGGACCACCATCCGGTGGAACTCTGCCTGCTTTGGACCACTGGTGGTGGGGATCAGGACCACCTGAAAGTGGGTGAAGAAATACAAGCCTTATGCTGGAAATGATCATGCCAAATATTTTTCTTCACTGTATCTCAACAAGTAAATTCTTAAAGCCTACTGAACCCGATATTTGCTCAGTTCTGTCTCATGCCTTGGCACCACCACTGTTTACTGGTACTCATATTTTCAAAACAAATGCTTCAGAAATATACGGCCTTCATCAAAATCCTGGGAACACTTTATTTGAAGGGGTGTGCATAAGACTGACATGACACTGTCAAAAACATGACATAACACCTGTCATGTTTATGACAGGGTAAATAATGACACTTTTAATGTAAAGTTGCTCTAAAAGTTGCATTTAAAGTCCATTAAAAATGCCAACTTTGAATTAATTTATCATAATTTACAAAATCATGCAAAGTTGGAACTTTTAATGCAACTTTTAGAGCAACTTTACATTATTTACCCTGTCATAAACATGACAGGTGTTATGTCATGTTTATGACAGTGTCATGTCAGTCTTATGCACACCCCTTCAAATAAATTGTTACCAAATCCTGTGCCCAGCTTCTATATCTTGTTTCAAAAATACTGTTGCTTTTGTTTTTTTCAATATTTAAAGTTCACATTTTTCACATAGTTCTCACATAAATTCCTAAAATGGTTTTGTCTAAGCAATTTTTTAAAACTTCCCTTAGTTTCATAATAATGTCTTCTATGTGGGTTAGGTTGTACACAGAGTTTGGCTTGTTTTTAAAAGTGCTCATGAAATTATAGTTAGATTCTAAAATACAAAACCTGTTTGCAGCTAAAATGGCAGAATTGATAAATATATCTGCCTTCTTACTTTTATAGACGTGTCTGTATTATTTCCTTTGCAAGTTAATGCTTGCAAGCAGAATTTTAGCACATAGTGTGAGGTGCAGGTGCAAATGAAAGGTCAGATAATGTGGGTGAAAACCACAGAGCAAGAAGGGCTCAAACAGGTATCAGTTAATGTGCGTTTCTATGCATTGAGTGTTTTATGTTACTGATGGTCTGAGTTTTTCCCCTTTGTTGTTTTCTTTCCTATACATGTGTGTGCCAGTGTGTGTAAAGACGGGATGTGGTCAGCTGTGAATCATATAAAGGATAACTTAATTTTGGGGCTCTGCTTCTCTGACTTCCAGAGTCAGGGTCATCAAATGTTTCTGCCTTTGAATAAAGCACTTTAAAGACAAAGCTCAAACTTTCTAATTTCTTAACAGTTTTCATTACCCATGTATTAAAGAATTTCCATAAATTTTGGCATCCCTAAGTGGGCTGGCGAGCTAGGAGATGCATGGAGTGGGACACGGATGGTTTGGCTAGCCTAGAGAAGTAGATACGCTCTAGTCCACCAAAGGCCTAGCAAACCTCCCTTGAGGAACAGATTGGCTGAGAACTGTTCTCATATTAAAGAAAAATGGGGTTTAAACCCCTGATCCAGGACTGGGGGGTCCTGGATCAGACTAATGGGAACCAGTAGCAGTAGCTAATGTAAGCCACCGCAAAAATTGAAGGAAAAAGGTGGGCTTAAGTTATCTCTACACTTCAAATTAAGGAAAACCACTGAAGAGCCATCTCACTGAAGGATAATTGGGGTCCAGACCCTCCAAATGTTCTTAGGGTTGTGGTCCATTGCCACCAGACAGTCCTATTTATAAATAAATTAGAAAAAGGTACAGGGATGAATGTGTGGATTGTGCATCGATATGAGTGACAGTATGGATTTCCAGATGGGGAAGTTTGAGTGCAAATCACCTTAAGAAAATAAGAGAGATGGATAAGGGCTGGGAATTAGAAAAAAAGAAGAAAATTAAGCAGAGAACTGCATGATGAATGCTGTAAAATGTGGATGAATGAAGCAGAAGAGACAGAAAGAAGAACTGAATTGAATTGAAATTGGTGGGGAAAAGATTTGAGTGGAGCAGTGGGAGGGGACCACTGATGATGCCAGTTTCCCCAGTGCTCCACTGCCATATGTGCCCTCTTCTACCATCAGTGGTTCTTCGTCTCTGTAACTGTATATTTCCAGGCTGAAGCTTCAGGACAGTCCCAGCCTCGGCAAGTAATTAAGCCAGAATTAAAGAGAACCACAAGATGAGCCTGTGTCATCCAAAACCAGAAGACATACACCTAGAAAAATGGCTCCAAGGCTACTTGATGCTGAAAATAAGATCCAGGCCTGTCTGAGGTGCAGGTCAATGCTCCCATGCTTGAAGTTTCAGGACCAACTGGCCCAGTGATGGTGTGCAAATCTTGGACAGGTGGAGGTCCAACTGGGGCAGAAATACATTACATTTTGGCTGAAAAAGTGAAACCCAGCGACATGGCTAGCCTTACCTGACAGGCTGGCTTCTTGGAGACAATAATGATTATCATCTTGCTGCAAAGGAACTCTGTGCCAGCATAAAAACAAAGTTTCCAGCTCAAACCGACTCCACAGCTCTGCAGTGTGTCAAACACTGCCCAGTTGGGCCAGCTGCAGAGTTCTTACGACGAATATGGGAAGTTTTAACAAATATTTTGACCTGACAAAACCACAAGGAAACCTTCCTCAAACTCCTGAAGCCTGGGAAAAACTTCTCTTTGCCTACATAATGGATGGACTGCTGCCTGAGGTTGCAGCTGTAACCAGCATCTCCTTGATGCCATGGCTGAAGACCTGGCATGAAGCTGGAGGACTTAGAAAGACATGTCCTCCACAGACATGATGCATTGACTGACCGCAAGAAGAGAAAAACAGAGAGAAGAAACACAAATTTACATCATGCAGCCCTGACCATGTTTTCGGCCGTCAAGATCACACACAACTTGCGTGGAAGAGGCCTTGGTGGACGCAGGGAATCTGATGGAGGACAGGGTCAATCCTGGCCCGGATCATGTGTCACCTCTGTGGAAAAATCGCCAGTGGAGAACTAAGGTGGACTGATTGGAGGTTTGCACCCTGGGCTGAACCGCCTCACCACTTTTGGAGGGCACTGCCAAGGAGATTGAGGTTCCACATACACACCGCTACGTCCAAAGAATGTTAAAATGGCACCAGCTTCAACTGATCTGAATACCTTACTTAGAAAGTAGGAAGAACATTTTGACAGGAACATACTCCATGTACATTTCCCCACTTTCAAAAAAATGTCTGTTTTAATAATGCCTGTTAAAGGAAAATATGTTGATTTTATTATTGATTCTGGAGCTACACATTCTGTGCCGTCTACAAAATTGCTAGGGGAAACACCAAAACCTAGTGGGAGGTGTACATATTCTGTCTCAGCGTCTGGTAACATGGAGAAAGAAAATGTTTCTGTTCTGCTTGGTTGCAACACAAACTGTGGGTTATAATTAAAACATTAATTTTTAGTGTTTAATTAATTATGATTAATCCTCCTTCTGGGCAGAGATTTGATGTGCAGATTAAATATTAATCTTGTTTTAGCTGCATAAGGGGTGTGTGTAATCACTCCCAGAGACTTCACAGATTCTGAAATCTGCTATACATCTGGGCACTGGGCTCCTCCTGAGACGCTGTATGCTTATCAATGAAGCTTCCAACAGAGTCAGCTGCTAATCATTTTTTGGATCTGGTTAAAAATGTTGTTCAACCCAGAACTGACCTTATGTCACCTGATGACCTTCACTTTACATTTGATGTTTTCAGTGATCCAGATTCTGACTATGACCAGACTTGGTACAAAATTAAGACTGAAAGATTACAATTTCCTGATTTGTTCTGGGATTAGTTTCAGTAAATATCACTGCTGAACAAAACAAATGTTATGTTCAAAATTCTGTTCTGCATGTTTTCTTGGCAAAACCACCAGACAGGAAATGGAGGATTTGTGCTCATTTCTCAGGTGTTGTCTCCATGTTGCAGACTGGCAACCGACCCCACTTTCTTATGTGTTCTATTCAAATTCTATTAATCTATTTAAACATTCATGCACCTCTACTTTGATGTGCAGGCACTGTGCAGCTGGCTCCACCGTCACAGCTCTTCCTGTCTGCTGCGTCTGCCGTGTCACTCCCAGAGCTGGATCAGCTGCCTGATTTTCTAAACACAAATATGACGTGGTCCTCATCCGAAACTGTGAATGTGTAGTAATAAAACCAAACTCTGATTTTTGCTCATGCCAAAAACAATATTCCTTAAGACCAGTATTTTTGGTAGGAATTGGACCAGTTTTTGACTTCTAAAATCTGGTGTGGCTGTTCCATGTTCAACCACATGGACTCCTTTGTCCATGTGGACCAGGGGTCCCCAAACTACGGCCCGCGGGCCGGATCCGGCCCGCCACGTCATTTGGTCCGG